CCAGCATACCATTCATTAAAAGCTTTCCTATGGTATGAATATAAAAAAAGGAAAGCACTATATTTTCTTCAGAACTTTAGCAGTGATTATATAGATTTTTAAAAATGACTCCAACATTGTAGCTGAAAAACAGGAGAAATTCAATAGCAGAGTTCTTGCAATAATTGATAAATCAATAGTAAAAAATAGAATTTTATATAGCAGCATTTTTTGATAGCAGAAGATCCATTATGTTCAAATATTGTGTTTATCACCTGTTAAAATCATATGTCCAAATGATATCCATATCCAGAATTCTTTAACTGAGTTAAGGCTGCAATCTTATCTTTCTTTGCTTTAGAAACTATCTAACAAAGTAAATGTCATATCTTTGACCTTCTACAGAGCCCAAATAAAGTGGAGGATTTTTTATGTTTTCACTATTCATGGCAACTCTGGGAAATATAATCCCTTTCCTAACCTTTTAATATCAGTGGAATGAGTCTGCTGCATTGACTACTAGAAGCAATCCACAAAAAGGCCTTCGGCCTTCTGTGGGAATTATGGGGTTTGGATTCCACAGTAGCAGATCCTCATGAAATTTAATGTTTGATGAAGTTATTCACTAGGACAGGACAGATATGACCTGGCATTGATCTGATGGGAAACTGCTGATACACAGCATTACACCATATTACCTAAAAATTTTTTGAAAATGCCCCTGGTATAATCAATAGTGCATGGAAGAAGCAGCTGCTCAGAACCATGCACAATATAGCTGCCTATGATAACCCTTCACTGACAGTCACAGAAGTATGACTACTTACAAATGCTTCTATATATACAAGTGCTTCAATTTTTTAACTACGGGGATTGTCTTTCTGTCTTCATCAATGGTGTGGTGTTAAGTTCTAATATCCACTTCAAGCTGAAAGTTGTCTTCTTTGTCATTGATTATCAGGAACAGTCACTACTGTGTAACTCATATTCTTTTTTCTATGCAGATAGCATTGTATTTTCCTCTCCTAGAACACTTTTTTTTTCCTAAGTAGTGCAGCCTACGAAGAAATACTGATCACATTTGTGTATTATCAATTACACTACCATTTTCTGTGGTCATCCGCACACATAGAAGAAGAAGGGGGCCCCTGGAAACTACAGGCCTATCAGTCTCACTTCAGTGCCTGGTAAAATCATGGAAAAGATTAGTCTGGGAAGTATTGAAAAACACCTGGAGGACAACGTAGTAATTGATCACAGCCAGCATGGCTTCATGAGGGGGAAGTCCTGCTTGTCAAACCTGATTTCCTGCTACGACAGAGTATCCACCCACCTAGGAAAGACAGTAGATGTAATCTTTTTGGATTTTAGCAAAGCTTTTGACACCATCTCTCAAAGTATCCTTCTGGACAAAATGTCCAGTGTACAGCTGAATTACCATGTTATGTGATAGGTGAGCAACTGGATCACAGGTTGGGTACAAACAGTTATAGTGAATGGGGTTACATCAGACTGGTGACCTGTCACTAGTCTGATGTTCCAGAGGGCTCCATCCTCAGCCCAGTTTTCTTCAACATCTTCATAAATGACTTGGATGTGGGACTGGAAGGAATACTAAGTAAGTTTGCTGATGACGCAAAACTTGGAGGAGCTGTTGACTCCCTTGAGGGCAGGAAGGCCCTGCAGAGAGACCTCGACAAATTAGAGAGGTGGACAATCACCAACCACGTGAAGTTTAACAAGGAAAAGTGCTGGATTCTGCACCTGGGATGGGACAACCTTGTCTGTGTTCATAGACTGCAGAATAAGGTCGGAAAGCAGTGCCACGGAAAGGGACCTGGGGGTTCTGGTTGATGGCAAGTTGATATGAGTCAGCAGTGCCCTGGCAGCCAGGAGGGCCAGCTGTGTCCTGGGGGGTTGCCATCAGGCAAAGCATCACCAGCTGGTTGAGGGAGGTGATTGTCCCTCTCTGCTCTGCACTGGGGTGGTCTCACCTTGAATATTGTGGCAGTTTTGGGATCCGCAAACACAAAAAAGATGTTAAGGCATTAGAGAACATCCATCCAAAGGAGGGCCCTAAGGAAAGTGAAGGGTCTGGAGGAGAAGCCATATGAAGAGTGGCTGAGGTAACTTGGTTTGTTCAGTCCAGAGAAGAGGAGACTGAAGGGAGACCTCATTAGGGTCTTCAACATCCTCGTGAGGGGAAGAGGAGAGGCAAGTACCGATCTCTTTACTCTTATGACCAGTAGCAGAACTCGAAGAAATGTCAGGAAGCTGAGTTGGGGGAGGTTCAGGTTGGACATGAGGAAAAATTTTTTTACCCGGAGGGTGACTGAGCGCTTGAACAAGCTCCCCAGGAAAGTGATCACAGAACCAAGCCTTTCTGAGTTCAAGAAGCATTTGGACAATGCTCTCAGGTACACGGTGTGACTCTTGGGGTGTCCTGCACAAGACCAGGAGCTGGACTCAATGGGTACTTTCCAACCCTGTATATTCTACGATTCTATGATTTATCTGGGTTGTGGCAATCCAACACACAGCTACAGTCTGGGTGGAGAAGTGATTGAGAGCAGCCCTGCAGAGAAAAACTCCGGGGTGGCGGTTGATGAAAAACTAGACATGTGCGAGCTCACAGCCCATAAAGCCAAGTGTGTCCTGGGCTGCAGCAAAAGAAATGTGACCAGCAGGTCAAAGGAAGTGATTCTCTCCCTCTACTCTGCTCTCATGAGACCCCACCTGGACTACTGTGTACACTTCTGGTGCCCCCAACTTAAGAAGGACATGAAACTCTTGGAGCAAGTCCAGAGGAGGCCACAAAGTTGATAAGAGGATGGAGCACCTCCTCTGCAAGCACAGGCTGAGAAAGTTGGGACTGTTCAGCCTGGAGAAGGTCGCATGGAGACCTCACTAGCAACATCCCAGTATGTGAAGAGGTCCTATAGGGAAGGCAGAGAGGGACTTTTCATCAGGAACTGTAGTGATAAGACAAAGAAGAATGGATATAAATTGAAAGAGAGGAAAGGTTAGATATTTCGGTTAGATATTAGGAAGAACACTTTTACTGTGAGGATGGTGAGATGTTGGAACAGGTCGCCCAGGAAAGTTGTGGATTCTCCAACCCTGGTAGTGTTCAAAGCCAGGCTGGATATGGCCTTGAGCAACCTGGTCTAGCGGGAGGTGTCCCTGTCCATGGCCGGGGGTGTTGGGGCTAGATGATCTTTAAGGTCCCCCGCAACCCTTAACATTCTGATTCTGTGATTTCAACAGAGTTTCATATTTCCTACTATGGCAAAGTACTTCAAATAATTAGTACAAAACCAAATTGCCATGAGGTTCATTAAAATATAGGGGATAATAATTCTCAATTTATAATTATTTTCCTCTTTGACTATTCAGTCATATTTTAGTTAATTTAATATGGTTTGTGAAAAAAATCTAAGGAAAATATTTAAATTAAAATAGCAACTACATCACAGATCTTCAAGCCTATAAGTCCAATAATATAGTAATATTTTAATCAGCTTGTATTTTTCTAATTTTGGAAAAAAAATGCAAATTTTATCTTTGACAGAATTCTAAGGTCTTTTTCAACTGTCATCCGGGCAGTTGGCCATAACAGACACATCTAAATACACAAACTGGACTATCTTCTCTTTCATACAAGAAATATTTAGAGAAACTGTCAGGACTTTGAATGCATCAATAGACTCTAATTGGCTTGACCAGCCTATAATTATCTTTCTCTGCAATGCTTCCTTGGTGACCTCTTTCTCTCCTCTCGCATGTTTAAATGCTGGTGTTCAAGCTGAGCTCTGATGTGGCCCAGCACTATCATCTTGGATCATCCTACTGTGAAAACAGGACTCACCTCTGAGATGTCCACAGTTTCATTCATTTACTCATGAACTCATTTACCCATGAGCTGCATTTAAGCTCAGGCCTTTGAACTAGTTCTTTTCCAGGGCTGATTTTTTCAGTATGCATGGATCCAGCTTTGTGTCTTGATGATTTAGATCTGCTGAACAAGCTACCCAGCTTGACCACAAACCTGCTTCATCACTACGTACTTGTCTGGTGATCTGAAGTCTGATGGACTTCTGAGATTGTGCCCTTAGTTGATGAGGTCACCATCACCACTAGCTTTGCTGTCGCCTTTTGTTCCAGCTCTCTTTCCCTTAAAAAAAGGACCACTCTTCCTATTCTATGATGTAAGGAATAACAGCAATCCTAATACATTTTGTCTGAACACCCAAACAGATAAGTGGATATGACTAGATAAATGGCCCTAAGCGACCCTGCTTATGCAGGGTGGTGGACAAGGTGACCTCCAGAGGTCCTTTCAGACCTCAATCATTCTGTGATCATCAACTGTTATTCGCAGAACAAGTAGTGGTTGAGCAACCTTTAAGTTGTTCCCTAATACTGCTGCTGGAGAAACTATTATTTCCTCTCTTTTTACAAGCTATGGCCAGAAGAATCTTGCTACACGATGGATCTTGCTTAACATTTTCAGGAGCTATTCTGAGAGTTAAAACTAGCAGATTTTTTTTTCAAATTGTCAGTTTGAATGAACCTCCTACACTACAGTTTCATCATAAAACTTTTAAGATTGTACTAAGTTTAAACGCGTTTATGTAAGTAATTTGATTCTGGTTAAAAAAATGGCAACAGATGTTCTTAATTCAAGCAATGTATTTTTAAAGGCTGAAACACAGCTGTGATTATCATCTTTGTGGGTAATGGCACTGGACCACAATCAGTTATATATTCTTTTTATTATAAAAATATCCTTCAGTTATCTTACTTAATACAGTACTAAACACGGTCTCAGTAGAAAAGTAATAAAAAAAATCTATATTGCCCAAGCGAATTGTCCTCATGTTATCGATTTAAATAAAAAAAAACTACAAAAGTATGCCCCTCTTGTCTCTTAGAGTAATGAATGCTTTTCAAGTTCTGCTTGTTGGAAGCTTTTATACTTTGGAACACTGAATAAGTTTAACATGTATTAAATTACTTACAGTGAATCCTCCAATTATATTAAGACACAATCCTTCATTCAGACAGTTGATGCTGAGCAGACCGCAGTAGTCAATTACTTCCTCACAGTTCTTTCCAGTGAATCCTGGCATGCAGCTGCAAATACACAAGTGTATTTTAGAGGACTTGCATTTTAAAAGTTAATTGTATTTAATTATATTCCATAATTCTATTAAATAATGTTCTTGCAGTAACAAAACAGATCTCATATGATATTTAAAATACAAGAATATGTTTTCAAGGAATTAAAAATCAGTTGCATGATTCTGAATAATTTTGCTCTCCCATAAAATATTAATTTCATAACTAAAACATTTTCATATTAATATAATCTTCCAGAAAAAAAACCAACTAGAATGAGGTATTATTAATAAACAGCTATAAACAAAGTAACAAGGTTTTGGGAAACTGTTAGAAAGAATAGGTCAATTAAAGCACCAAAGAGGAAAAATTAGAAATATGATGATAAGTGAGTTTTAAAGTAAATAACATCAATCATTGCTAATGATTAAATGGTAATAAATAATGACATGCTTAGTTAAATATGGAACAATGTAGAGAGAGCAATGCATAGTTGGTTTTGTGTTTGTTTTATTGTAATTCAGTATTTTCTTTAAAGAAGAAAACTAGCATTTTATTTTTGTGATGGTTTGTTAGCTCCATGTGATGGCAATGGAGCTGTGGGTAACTCTTCTATGGTAAAAGGAACTACAGAAATTTATTCTGCTTCATGTCAACGTTTATTAGTAGTAGGAGAATATCCTTTTCTTATGTAGCCCTCCAGTGTTTAGAAAAAATTCCGTATACACAAATAAAAAAGATGATATTTAAATGGATAGTAAACAAGTTTTATTCAAAAGTAATAATGGAACAATGTAGAAAAATATTTGAATATTTATATCCTGATAGATACAAATCCCTGTCAAACTCTATATGTTTTTACTGACATACATACCATGTTCCTCTGTCTAAAGACTCTTTCTGGTATTGTGTAAAGAAAAGATTTAAGAAGAGAAAGGAAGTGGCCAGCAATATGAAAATTTGTATTTGTGAAGGAATCCAAAAGTTATAGATGGGGTGTTTCCTCTTAGCTTTTTCCAAAGGGTACTTTGTCAAATGACTCAGTCCAGAAGCTGGAAATCATGAACATGAAATAGATTTGCTTCTGTTTCTCCTATGTTCTTGTTCCTAATAAATATGAGTTTCAGACATGTTGCTCATGTTTTCCCATTAAAAAAACCAATTCCATCCCTGGTTTCAAAATGTATCAAGTCTCTCAGAGTTATGCAGTATACAAAAGTAAAGGATATATTTTCAATAGCAATTAGCTAGGCAACAACATTCGATAGAAAGTGCCTGAGTTGACCATACTGTCTAAATCAGCTAAAGAGATCTATCAGCGGGTATGGCTCTGCCTCTGAGGAATGCACAGACACATCTAGCATGTCCAGAGGCTGCAGTCACTAATTAACCTTAGTTAAATATTAAGCAGGTTGGATTTAATAAGAAATTGCTGGAGACCATCCACATAATTTCACACATAGGACCATTTGGACAGAGGTAGATAAATATAGGAAAAACTTCTCTAAATAGTTGTATGTTTTGAGGCTGGTCACAACCACAGAAGGACACTCTATGCAAGTAGCAATGGACTACATAATCCTCACCCTCCTCTTGAAAAAGGTGTTGTGTGCAATTATATTGCTGCTATTTCAAGTACTTGGCTTCAAAGTTCTTGCAAAGTCTATTCTTAACAGATTTCCAGTTCATGTACTGTAGCTAAAAGGAGTTTTTCATAATAGTTATCTGCTTTTAGTTCTGCATGTTCAGGGATATCAGATAGCTACATTCTGATTTTCCCCCCTAAACAAAAGTACTCATATCAACAGATAGCATGTCTATTGTCCTTTATACTATAGCATAATTTATCCATACATTAAATTTACATATAAAAGGAACATAAAACAATAATAACAAAGTTTTTTAATCTTTTGTTATAATTTAATTTTTAAATAACATCTAAACCAAAAACAGAGCAATTATTACATTTGTTTTACTGATTTGTTTTTACTTATGATCTGAAGAGGTGAAAGAGTTCCTAGCTTTTTTTTTGCTTTAATCTATTTAGCTAGTCTATGACTGTTTCATTAAAGAGAAAATCTAGTAAGGAAATGTTAGAAGCTGGATTTTCTAATTTTTATACTTGTTCATTTTTTCTATTTATGTTTTTATTATTTTTTTTGTAATAAATATACCAATGTTAGGGAAGGTAAAAGTAAACTAAGAGCAAAAAAAGTTGACAGTAAAGTTACAGAGACAACATTAACAGAAATTTTCTCAGAACACCCTTTCACATTTTTGTGACTTTTAATTGTCCTAAAGAACATGGAAAATAGAAGAAGACACAAAAAAACCAATCACAGTTTATTGTGATGGATGTCCTTGTTCACCAGCTATTTGAATTCAGCTTAATTTTTTTACATTTAAGAAAAAATTGTTACTATTAGATCCTTAGCATAAAGCTGCATATGATATCAAGACAGAAAGGGTGGAATTATGATACATGATAGTCATACATCATAACTGAAGTGGAGAAAATTAAACTGAGTCAGTCTCGTCATATGTTTTGAGTGGAAAACAACTGGTTTTCCAAAGAAGGAAGGATGTATAGATAAAAGCTGAGCTTGTGATGGATATAAGAAGAATGTAGCTTGGGCATGAGGAAAACCACATAAGATAGGGGGAAGCAAAAAAAGCACATAATGAAGTAAAAAGGTCAAAACAGTTATTATTTGAACTTGTATCTGCATGTGAGATAAATGCCATTACGTTTATTTATAATGTTAAAATGCTATAAAAGTGGATCACGTAACAATATTGCATATAGTATTACACTGTATTGTTGTAGTAGTATTACACTGAATGAAACATATGTAGTTTATTGTGAGGTAGTTGGACAGAGACACAACATACAGTATTTTACAATGATTACCAAAAGTGAAACAAATCTTCACTTAAGACTTTGAATGAGCAATGCTAATTATTCAATCTGCATTGTACACAGGGCCAGGATATTTTTTAATAGTTTTGTTTTTGTTAATAAAGGCAATCTACATCTTGATATTAATTATTCATGATATGCATATTTTAAATGTAAATGTCAAAACATAATTTCCTACTTATTCATGCACCAGCGTACTGTGTGAAAGACTCACTATATGATAATAAATTATTAGCTTATATCTTGGTTTAAAGAATTGGAAAATGAATGGCAACACTGTTGTTCTGTGCTATACATATCTATATGGGAAGATCTAACTTGTATGTGTGCTTGTATGTGTGCGTTTATATGTATTTCTGTATTTAGGAATAAGTATGAATAAAATTTTAAGTATTTTCTTCTTTGGGAGAATTGTAAACATAGTTCTATTTATATTTTTATTTCCAGACTTCTCAATTTAATTTCTGCTGATGGACTGTAAGTTTGTGCTCTGTACATCTTTTTTTGCAGTTTCTAAGTTCATTTATAATGTGATGTCAGGCTTTTGTGTATTGCAGCTTTCAATTTTCTGCATTCATGAATATCCTAAAATTTGAATGTTGTTTACTTCACTTCAGTAATACTTAGCAGAAGCTACTCAGGCAGCCAGATAAAAGCCAAGAAAGTGGGAAGAGGACAAATTGTACTCCTTAGTGACATAAAAAAAAAAAATCTAAAAACTTATTTAAAGTGAAATTAAATTATACACTGGGTCTCTTCTGTTACTTTCAAATGGATATTTTTTAACATGGTCTTTCTGAATAAAACAGTTTTTCATATGCTGCTTGAAGGATCAACCTAAGGTCTACTAATGTATGTCTGTGAACTAGAAATTAAATAGGTTGTCTTATCTTTTCAGAAAAAACAGTGACACCTGTAGTATAACTGTCTCACTTATCATCAATTTGTCAAGATTTATATGTTTCATCTTACGGTATTAATATGGCAATGATTTTTAGCCCCTTCAATACTTTAAATCTTTCTGTATCACTTCAAGAGTTTTCAAGAAAACTAATGCAATAAAGCACCAAACATAAATATTTTAAAAGAGAAGTTTATAGTTTTCTGTGCTCTCTGTGAATGACAATGTCTTTTCTTTCTGCAATCTGTGGGATACCATCAGGTGAAACAACAAAGTACTGACATAAATTAATTTCCAATCTTACCGGCAGTTGTAGTTCTGCTGTTGAGCTATGCAAGTTGCGTTATTTAAACAAGGCAATAATTCACACGGGTTCAGTATTCTCTCACAGAACTTGCCAGTAAATATTGGCAGACAGATACATGCCACATCCTATAGGAGACAAGGAAATTAGAAATAACTGTGATACCCAAGGCAATACAAAAATTAGGGTTTACTTCCATTTCTAAACAGACCCTAACAAGGCCAGGATTTCATCATATTAAGCAGTCTAGAAAGACAGAAGGAAAAGCAGTTCTAGCCTCAGATAGGTTACAAACTTGACTTAGGATAAGTGTAATAAGCCTTCCAGTACAGATTATACCAGACTTGGGTTTGCTAGCTGGAAATACACCAGCTCTAAAATTGGCTGGCTCTGTGATTTCATAAGTGAATCAAGAAGGAGTTTTATAATACATTTAGGCTTTTCCTAATTTCTGAATTTTTTCCAATATAATATTTACATCTATCAAACAGTAACAGTACACAAGGTACATCAGATACTAGTATTCAGCAACTAGAGGAGGAAAGAAAATTGTGTGTATCCTTTTTCCCCTTCATTATGAGGCACAGAGACTATTCTTCTCTATAATGGTGAAAGACATTTGTCAGTTACTGCAATTCCTAATTTGCACAGTAAGGAACGTAAGTTATTTTACAAAATAAAATATTTCTTAGAGCTTATACTCTCACCCTTATTTTTCTGTATGAAGTTATGCTCTTTATAGGCCTTTTGAAGTCAGAAAGTAAAGGAAAAAAATAAAGGGGTTTGTTCCCCTAGGGAAATTGGAAGTGCTCAGGTGTTTCTTTAGAATTGGTCCTAAAGGTATAATCAGGAAACTTCAGTATCTATTGAGAGATGTCTATATGTGTGAAACAAATTACTATATTTGTTTCTTTATTGTACAAAATAGTATGTGCTAGTATATCTAATAGACAAAATATATAAACACGTTGCATGACAGGAATCTATCAATTTTTTCAGCAATTTAGATGTCCCTTTTTTTCTCTGTGCATGAATATGTATCACTGGTATGCAATAACTAAGCTTTTGAATTCTTCTTTCACTATTTTGGTTCTATACAATCACTGCTATTTGCAATAGTCATGCTAATGAAAGAATGATACCTTTTGACATATAACCAGGTATGATTTTATTATCAAAACTTTGTGACTCTGCATGAATTTATTCTATTTTACAAAAAGAAAAATGAAAGAAAAAGGGGAATTAAAAACATACCACATGAAAAGCAAGAAAAAGAGACAAACACTAGTTAATAAAGACCACTGATGCATCATGTTTTTATGTCACAAGATTTTAGCAGAGAAAGGAATAAAGAAATGAAACAATATTAGTAGCTCCTTAAGTGACCTGAAACGTGGAATTTGGGCTTTTTTTCATAGAATTATACATTAGAATCAAATGTTTTGACACTTTCATAGAACAGATCCTCCTGGAAGCTATGTCAAGGCATATGGATGACAGGGAGGTGATTAGGAACAGCCAACATGGCTTCACAATGATGTCTGACTAATGGTGGCTTTCTATGATGAAGTGACTGCAATGACTGGTAAGGGAAGAGGAACTGATGCCATTTACCCTGACTTCTGTAGGGCCTTTAACATCATCCCACACATCGTCATTGTTGCTAAACTAGTGAGATGATATTTAAAGGTCCCTTCCAACCCAAATAATTTTATGATTCTGTGATTCTATGATTCTATGTTCAAATAGGGATCTCTAAAGTTTATACTTACATTTGGCAAATCAATACATGTGCCTCCGTTCTGACATGGCCTTGAAGAGCATTCATTGATATCAATTTCACAGTTGTGGCCAAGAAATCCAGAAGGGCAAACACAAACATATCCAGACCGATTATACTGGCATATGCCTTCATTTAGGCATGGCTGAGATTCACAAAGATCACCAGGTTTCTCACAAAATGAACCTAAAAGAAATAAACATAAAAAATTACAGTGTTTGAGTGAATGGGTCCTCTTGACATGCTGCCCATAAACATAACTTTTTTACTTCCTTACTATGATGTGTTGTTGTGTTTCCCTATTATTTCCTTTCTTTTCTAAAAAAAATTTTGAGAGATTGAGAAGCTTTTATTTATTGTGGTTTTTAAAATTGTTTACACTGCAAAGCTCCAATTACTGACTGGAGCATCCGTATGCTATCACCATTTAAAAAGCAAAGAATTTAATATATTCCTGTATGTTTTGTTTGTTTTGCTGAATAAATGTGGTAGAAATCTATGGGAATGACTAACCTTATCTGTAACAAAGGAAGGAGGTGAACTAGAATCATAGTCCCAGAAGACACTGAACAGTCACTCAATATTTCTCTCATTGTGGTTATTACTAGGGGAAGCTGAATCCAGTATACTCTCAGACACATAAGGTTGTTCTCATTTCTATTTATAGATCCAGCCAGTAGCAAAACTGAATGTGCTCTCAGTAAGCAAACACACAATCACATACACAGACACTTACACAAACCCACCCATGCACATGCACACACACACCCATACACAAAATACAGACACATCAGCCATATGGATCAACAGCAAGAACAATATCTTTTTCCTTGCATAAACACAAACAGCAGTCACATAAATGAAACAGCAATGATGGCTCAAACTTTTTCCTCCTCTCTGGCTAGTCAGTGTTGAAGTTCAACAGCAAACATACGCACTCCCTCATTTTCTATATGCAAAAATAAACCCTCGTTAATGGATCTCTCAAGAATCAGCATAGATTTTGTCTGAGATCTATACCAGGATCCTGAACCTCTTGACAACTTGCTGGCTCAGAGCTTGAGTAATTCCAGATCTGGGTATCATTCTGGTTGCTGGCTAGTCCAGTTTAAAGGTCTGTCGCTCCCCACTAGGAAAGCTGGTAACACAGAAGTAGCAAAGAGACTGCAGTGATCAGACACAGTCTCAGCCACAGAAGTATAATAGGCAGCAGCCTGCTTACATTCAGCTAGCAGCTAAGAATTTACTTCCATTTACTTCAGAAAAATTATGTAGTAAATATGCTTTTTACATATTTTGTGCTTTAGTGCTCTGATTCAAAGCAACTCCCTATCACATACTTACAGATTACATCAGAAGAATTTTTCAGCAATTTGCTGTAGCAATAACATTTACTTCATAATAAATCCCCTCTGAAGAAGTAATATGTATTGATTCCACATTTTGTTAGTCACTTGAGTCCACTGAATTAAAAATAGACATTCACAAAAGAATAAATTACACTTTACAAAAATATGTATAATTTTGAAATGGTAAACAGAATACTTTTAACTCAAATTGTAAACTACAAGGTAAACATAACTAATTAGTTATAAATCAATTAATAGATAAGTATATGAACCTCTAATAATTTCATTACCAGTAGCTATATAAAGGAACTGTAAGTATATGTAACAACATTTACTAGGAGATTGAAATTTCACAGTCTGTCTCTATTATATAACAGAACAGCTGATGCAACAAACACTATACAAGAAAATCCCATTAGCAGAAAAAGGGTCAAAACACATTTTCCATCCCTCAGTTCAGTGGAAATAGTTATTCCAATAAGGCAAAAGAAATTGGATCTATCTTTTATTACAGAATGTTCACTTCTCTTTAACATCAGAGGACAGTCAAAAAATCTTTCACAAATTTTTTGCTATCCCTCATCACCATAGTAACCAAATTACAGTATATTGCAACTTGCAGATGTTAGGACTTGCTAATAGGAAAAGCTAAGGCGGCCATTCGTCAGAACAAGGTCATTGATTGGTATTAGTGCATATATAAGAGAACATCTGCAACATGAATTGAGGGGGATTGGTCAATTCTCTCATAATTCTATTTACTATTTAGCTGTCGTGTTCAACTTCAGTACAACATTGTACTCCAGTAGTACTCATAGATGGGGTTATATATCAATGCTTACCCTATTTTTTCCTTTTATTAGGCACATTTGACAAGAATAGGTGCTCCTATCCCATCCACAGTACTAAATAGGAGAAGGCAAATGAGCAAAACAGTGACTCCCTTTGCTCTACCCAGAGGAAAGCCAGAAAGAGTAGTCTCACTAGCTGAATGGATTAATGAGTTTTTCCTGTCATTGTTTCTTTACCTCAATCCATTCAATCCTCCCCATTTTTTCAGCCACCATTACCAAGCATTTCTTAGCCTTTTGTAAAACCATGGCTCTCAATGGGATTATTAGAACAAGGAAAGACTAAATGAACAAAATAGCACAGAAAACTTTAGGCCAGTTGGGAAAACCAGATGGCAGAGGTCCCTTTTCCGTAATGTTACGTTCATTTGCAGCAAAACTAGAAAAAGGTCATTGTTCTGTCAGAAAAAAAATTTAAAAAAATTGTGCAACATTCTTTTAAGCGAAGACTTGAAGTAGCTAGAAGAGGAATAGAGAAAATCCTGAGAAGAGATAAGGAAATATTGTCAACCATGGCATGAGACATATATCAAGGAAAAGTGCATGGTTCAAGGATGGCAAAAAAAAAGATATATCCTTTTTTTCTCCTTGGCATCTCCTTACAAAGAGAGAAAAAATTCTTTTTTTTTTAATTTGGGAAAAAAACCAGTTCATTTAGTGGAAACTGGTAGCCTATAACCTAACCAGGTCAAAGGGGATCAATTTAAATGAAGATACTGAGGCAACAACTTTACTCATAGTCTAAAACACAAGTCACATCTATCAATGTCTTTTAGGAAGAATTCAGTGCTTTTTCCTTAATCATTGTTGCTAATTATTTCTTTGACAATCCTGTACTCTGCAATTCACTGTATTCAGCATACTATGTACAAAGCAAGAGCAGTGCTCTTTCACCTGAACATCCATGCCTGACGAGTTTGACAAATCAAGTCAATAAACAGAATTCTGAAGAATTTGTCTTTTAAGATTTTTATTCTACCATTCTCAAACCTCATGTCACACTCAATCTATTTACTAAATAAGACTGAAAGATGACTTGATTACAGCTCTTGGATGGGGAAAATATCAAGCACTAAAGGGATCATTAATTCGGTGAAGAAGTGCATAAGAAAAGCAAACAACTAAAGAGAGAAGCAAAATCATGTAAAGTGAGAAACACCTTAAACATTTTTACCAGTGATATTTCTGTACCACACTATCACAAAAGAATTGAATTCAACAGTTGCTGATGTCTTCACATCAAGGCTTTTTAAAAGATAGTTCTTTAACCATATACAAGAAGACTGAAGTCTTCATATATAGATAAGCAATATAACAAGCTTTGGTTGGAAGAGATGAACAACTGGTCCCCAAAATTTGGAAATCTATTTATCTACTTTGACTCAAACTGTATACAAACCCTTTTAAAAATTGTGTAAAATTATGAATTAATTATAAATTCTCATTTTAAAATGTATATGTTTTTGTCATCATCAAGCCTCTCGATGATGTTTAAATAAATACTTAGATATGTTAGATATACTTTAGATATGTTTAAATAAATACTTAAATTCATAACCATGCTAAGATTTATTGACCACTTGAATGTTGTTGTTAGAAACAAGGTAAAGAGGAAACAGGACAAAAATACATCTTTATAATCTGATATCAGATTCAAGCCTCTGAACGAGGGCAATATTTAAGCAATGAGCACTGCATCAAGGATCAACACATCAGTCCAACTTGCACTAGCTAGTAAATGCATATTTAAAAGGTTTTTACATGTTCTGGAGATCTAAGACTTAAATATATAAAAAAAAAAGAAAAAAGTGAAAGGCAAATTGTCTTAACTGCAGAGATTTTAAACATAAACTTTGATATTACTTTTAAACATATTACTTTGATATCAATAAAAACATAGTACAGGCATAATTTATGTGTCATAAATGCTGTATATTTCTGTTGCCAGCAATTTCAACAAAAGTAATTCTTCCCTCAGTCAGACCCAAAAAGAGACATTTGCTGAAAATACTGAAGTCCCTTTAATGCTCACTAATGAATGATCAGCTACTCAATGCTATGATATATTCAAATTCCCAGGAAGATAAATGCAGAAACCATGTTCTAATGAGAGATAGTTGACTCAGAAAAATTCATTTTGAAAAAAAAATAGTTATCACATTGATTGAATATCTTGATAAAAGAGGAAAATTAAAAACATCATCAGTAGAACCAGTTCACCTTGGTCCATCAATATAATGAATTCTTATTTGGTTTACTTCAATAAAATAAAAATTGTGGAAGATTAAAAAGCAGGAATAAATGAGTAAAGATTATCTGACAGATCAATATGAAAGATAATTAACTTTAGTTTAAGGACCTGAACCTTATTTTCAGAATTTTCTTTTTTTTTTACACATGAAGAAAATAAAACCCTTCACCAAACTAAACGAATGACAGAAAACACCCAGCCCTTCTTTGTTTGATTTAACTATGTACCTGCTAGTCTTCCTTAGTTTCACTGCGATGGTAAAATGATAAAGCATTTAAAAGACAAAGGACATTTCTGACACCATTGACAAAACTCACTCAGTTTCTTAAGATAGCACATAGTGACACTTACATAAATATCTGAGGTTACTGATTAAAATAAGTAGTTTCTATTTTTAATTGAAGTATTTCTGAACTTCATATTTATGCAAACACTTCTCTTCCCAAGGAGTAAAATATGCTAAAGATCATATTAGCATACAACATTTTAATATGATTTCAGTGTTTTGTTTTGTTGTTCCTCTAATGAAAACTCAATGTTTTCTAGAGCAGTTATGGAAAAGGCACAGTAGACCGTTTCAGGAAACACCATGTGTTATACCCTTATATAATCAATTATTTGTACTTCTGTCAGAACAGAGCAATAAAATTTCAGGGCTAGGATAAAAAAGGAAGCATTTAGTAGGAGAGAGATTTATTCTCAGTGTAAATGAAACACATGACTGCCAGTTGCCAC